ATTCAGTATTTTTAGAGACTGTACTGGAGGCTCGTAAACTACACCGTTAGGAAGAAAGAAAATAGTAGTTTTGGTATAAAGAAAAATGTGCACATCTAGTCAATTAATAATTCATCCCCACACTGTAAGATCTCTGTGAAAGAGGATGGTGCTGTGAACTTTGTGATCAACCTCTAACCTAAGGAACGGTTAATCAGGCAGCCTGCTCCAGAGCAGAGTATTCTGAAAGCTGCTGATGCTCAGGCTGGCAAGAAATTGCTATTGAGGGACCTCAAAGTTAGTGCTGTCTGCCTTTCTAGATGTCAGTTATTCCTGTTTGGTCAGATAAAGAGAACATGTTGACTGTGTTGGCAGAATCAGAGGGAGGAATGGCAGATTTGGGGATATATATTCTAATAGTCCATCAGCTTCTCAGTAAACGTGCTGTGACGATGAAGCAGGAACCCGGAAATCCCATTTCATGGCAGTTCCCCATAAACTGAAAGGTCAAGCTGCTGAGACTTTTGTTCTGTTGAGTTCATGCCACACTGATATGCAAAGAAGCTGGGTGTCTTTGAACTTCTGGAGCCTCACATTCCTGGTTGTTGTTATTCTGCTACACAGACTGAAGCATCTGAAGTCTAGACACTTGCCTTCATGTTGGGTTGCCTAGGAGCCCAGCTGGTAAGCAGGGAAGGAAACAAGGACGTTATAAAACCTTTCTGCTGTAATGCTGCCTGGTTTCATCAAAATCAAATAATCTCTCTCAGGTAATTCAATATTGAATTGTCAGTCTGGTAGAGAACCATCCTGCCTGGGAATTTTCAACTGACTCTTCACAGGTGAACTTGTTTTCAAGACACTGGCTCATAAACTTAGCACAAATATAAATATTTCATGATAAAGTAAAGGAAACATATCTCCCATTTATAATTGGATGCAAATTTCCTTTCCTACCTAGACATCCTGGAGTATTCTTGTATAGAGCTTTCGAGACCATAACTGATCTGTGGTGTAGATTTGAAGAATTATCAGTATTTTTGTAGATTTATCCTCTGACATATATTTGGATATATATGGGTAGGGTCGATAAGAAGGTACATTTGAGGACAGAAAGGAGCTCTGTAGTAAGTTTTATGTTGTGCATTTCTTTTCCTGATATATTCTATGTCCTATATTATTTACATTACTATGAGCAGGTATGTCAGAATATGTGCTCAGTTTCAAATTGGTTAAATAGTTTTGTTTAGCAAACAGCAGTGGGGCTGGCGTGAATAAGGACATAAGCCTGAAACTACTATATATTTTATTTCTAGAATAAACAGCCCCAGCACAAGATGTCTTTGGTTGGTTTTTTATTGCTTCTCTGAAAAAAAGTCTTCTTTGCTTATTTCATGCTGTGTCTTCTGTGATCATTAGACTTTATTAACTGACACAGATTTCCTTACTGTGTTATGAAACAGTTGTAATGTGTATATTTTGGGATTTGGGAGGAAAAAACATTGGTCTTCATCTTATCAAAGACAACATAAAATTTTCTGTCAGTGATAAAACAGTGCACAGAAGAATGTTAAATGTTTTGAACAGCCTACCCTAAATCTGCTGGGAGTTAGATTTGAAAGGGCTTTAAGTCTTGTATATTGAATTTCTGTTTTTCCTTTGACATAAATTGGTCTTGTCCCTAAAACCTAAAGTCAGAGCCTGATTGTATGAACTCATTGTATAGTTAATGATGAGAAATCCTAAAGTAAAGGCTGTAAATAGTTATTTAACTGTTCAATCTGAAAGGCAAGCTTTGGAAAAGCTGTGGAAAATAATAATTTTAAATTATTTAAATTCTTATGAGAAACTGTAACCTCTGACATTTGGCATGACATGAAATCCAGCATCCCTTATTATGTCGAATGCCAAAAGGAAGACCAGTTAGATTTTTGATGTTAAAGGTCCTTTCCAACCTAAATTATTCTATGATATCCAATAAAACCGGAGGATCAGCTGACAACCATCAGGTAACAACCATATAGACACTGGAATCAATAATCAAATCTCTTCATTTTTTTTCTGGATGGGAAGGAGAAATAAATAAGATATCTTCTGCTTCCTACTTGTCTGATTACTGATGCCTAGCACCAAATGAGGTTACGTTGCATTATCCATAGAGTGAGCCCAGCAGGACAGAACAGACAGAGCACAGCCCAGCTCTGTGCTTCATCTCTGCATTGATTCTGTTGAGGACGCTGAGGAAAATGCTGAGGTATCCAGTCCCCATCCTGTCCTCTGCTGGCAGCACCATAAAGATGACAATCATTGCTGTGTCTCATTGTCAGTCTCATTGTCAGTCTCTGCATTCCTGTGCCTTGCTGATGTTCTGGCTGGTTTCTGCTATTTGGCTGCTTAATGTAAAACCTAAAAAGAATAAATCTAGAGAAATCTTGAATCCTGAAATATTCTGAAGAGAGTTATTGCCTAAAGGCCACTTTAATCTGTTAAATTCTGTACATGGCGTTCGCACTGAATATAATTTGCATACAGTTGACTTAAAAATCCACTTCTTCACTTGATAGCATGTAGTATTTGGAAACAACTGCTTTCTATGCCAGGGTGCCATGCTGGATGTGCTGGCACCCTGCTTTTTATAAATTCAGGTTGTTAACAGGTACTTTGATAACATCATTTGAGTAGATGATATTCTACATTTGAAAATCATATATCAATATCCTGTTTGATATCATGAGATTCTTATCACTATGTGAAAATATTATAGTTTTATACATTTTTTTTTAGTATTGTTATTGCATACTTAAATACATTTGTGATTTATAAAAATGTTTTTATTCAACTGCTGTCTTCTGTTCCTGTCAACTCTTGGTCTGCCCATTGCTGCACTAATACCGATGTAACAAAAGTCTCACTAAGTCTTGCTACTGTAATATGGGGATTGTCCTTCCCTTTGAAAATTGATAATTGCAGAATTACAATTTTCTCATTTATCTTTGCAAGAGAAGAAATGTTTACTACGGTTAGATAATATGGTTGACTTTTATCTGAAAGTTTTGTTTCATCTCCATTGTAAAAATATTTTCTGCAGTTAGTATCTCAGTTAAGAGCTGATATAATGCAGCTTTCCTCATTAAAAAAAAAAAAGCTGTTCAAACTTAAATTTGACGTGTCAATTAAGCAAGAGGAAGGTATATTTAAAATAGATATATATTCTAAATGTAGACAACATGGAAATTCTGCTGTAATTTCATAATTTAGAAAGAACACAATAGCAAAGAGCACAAGTTTCTGAAACTTGGAGAAGCAGGAAAATACAAACTAATACGCTTTTTTAAGATAGTCCCAGCCCTCTCTTTTTGCCACCTACCATACGAATTGACCTTCTTGTAATTCTTTTAGAAACATCATAGTAAAAAGAATTTGAATGACTAGATTTTAAGCATGTACTTTCAGACTTTTTAAATCCATATAATCTGCTTTACTGTTTTAGTTTCTTGAGACTTTGTTATGCAGTTACTTTTACTTTATCTCATAATGGTATAGTAGATTAGGCAGATTATTTCTTCATTCACAAAGTCATTGTTGTGATAAAGATACACACTCCGAAAAGATTATTTCCTTGATTTTGTTATTACAGGAGTATATGTTGAAGCTATTTTGGTCACTGTAATTATACATTTCCAGATGTTACATTTAAATTTTAATTTTCAGATTTCTACACTTATCCTATGTTTTACAGTCGCTCATTCTCCTATTTTTTAACTCCTAAAGTTCTGCTTTAGAATATATCAGGGGCTTTACAGATGAAAATGTGTGTCTGAATCTGAGATGGCTTCCAAGGAAGATAAATGCCTGCATAGTTTAATCACAGGAGCAATGAGTGAGTGTTTGCAAGACCTGGTGAAACTTGTGCTGGAAACTTTCAGATAACTTGCACTGCGTGGAGAGCTTTGGAATGCTGTTGTAGCTCACACACCTACATCCCACTCAGTTTGATCTTAGGGACAGGTTTCAGACTGATACCTAAGGGAAATATCTGTAGAGCCCTTGGTGTCCAGGCTCCCAGTAGAGGCAATGGAGATGTGGTCAGTGCAACCAGTGGTATCTAGAGAACAGTTTTGCTTCTAGTCACTTGAACAGTTTACAAGACTGCATTGAGGAAACTTTGCCTAAATGTTGGCATCTCATGCCTTTTGAGACTCCCAAGGAAATCAGAGACATCTGCACAGAGCTGGCAAGTACAATGCATGGAAATGATCTGCAAGAGCACTGTACACTCTGCAGTGACAGGTAAAGGGCAGTTGGGATATTTTTGGGCACCAGATGCCTGTATGTGAATTGGCTCCATTGACATATTGACTCCTTCCACCAAATGTTACGGGAACTCGGGTGCTGAGTTTCCACGTGGGCACACATGGTATTGTGATCTCAGACTGACTCTCATATCTGTACATGCCCAAATTCTAGTTTGGTTTTTAGGTATCATGTATGATAGGACAAGGGGGAATGGCTTCAAATTGAAGCAGCGCAGGTTTAGATTAGACATTAAGAAGACATTCATTACTGTGAGGGTGGTGAGTCCCTGGAGCAGGTTGCCCAGAGAAGTTGTGGATGCCCTATCCCTGGAAGTGTTCAAGACCAGGCTGGATAGGACTCTGAACAACGTGGTCTAGTGGCAGTGGGGTTGGAACTAGATGATCTTTAAGGTCACTTCCAACACAACCATTCTATGATGATTCTTCCTCTGCAACCCCAATCTGTCTTTTTTTAATTAAAGTTCATTCTGTGAGTGAATTATCTTAGACCCTCGTCAGGGACGAGGGACATTTGCAATTGGACCACCAAATGTGTCACAGAAGAAGGTGAAAGCAATATGTGATAGTTTTTTGAGTTCTGTTGTCTTGTCTTCAACACTGACAACTGAACTACCTGCATTACAAGACTGACTAGGAGATGCTGTTGTTTTTGACATGTGCAAATGAACAAAGTGTTGTTTAAGTATTTATTTCTTTCTCTTTCAGTTATTGTAATGGATGTATGTTAGATCCAGACTGTGGTCTCTGCTACAAATTGAATAAATCAAGCGTTGTTGAGTCCTCATGCATTCCTGTTGATAAAGATTCTACAATGAAAGCAGCTTGGGGCAGGTACGTCACTTTTCAAGATTTTTTGGTCTTGTGCTCTACAGAGAGTGCATTTTATGCTATTGATAACAACTTTGCTTTTACATAAAAAGTTACTCTTAGGATGTTCTGAAAGAAAAAAATAGTTTGGCATAGTCAAAAATGGGTGATTACTTTCTAACTGTTCTAAATAAAAACCTTTACCCTGATGTGTGCAGCCAGGTTGGTGTAGTCTGTCACTTAGGAATTATGGCAAAAGTACACTAACAATTAGGTAAATTACCTTTCCTTAATGTTTTCGTTCCTTTGAGGTAGCATATTCACTAGTTACATACTTCAAGCTCTCTGAATTAATCTTCTTTTTAAATGCTTTAATTAAACCCACTTTTAATCTTGGCCTACTAAAGAAACCAATCAGCTCAGCTGAATAAACTAAAATGATCAAAGTCTGAAAAGTTCAAATTGTCAGAAGCATGGGTTTTGGCCACAGATTTCTGTGTTTTTGTGTTTAAAAGCATTGTCATGCCATATGTTACACTTGGGCTGTAAAAACACGGGCATTCATAGGTAAGTCAAAATGCAACTGCAAAATACATCACACCTCTTTCTTAAGCAGCACAAAGATTCCCTGTGAAGTCACAGCAATCTTCAAGTTTTCTGAAGTACTGACTATTCTTAAGGAATGGCTTTATGAGTTGGAATACTGTCTTGTAAAGGCTTTATGAATACTTTAATAATGATTAGGGCTTGGATTAGAGTTTAGAATCGTTCAGAGCCACAAAGGAATTAGGTAATTACTTCTGATAAAACTACCTCCCCATAACTCATTTCAGCCACCCACACATCATGAACATACTTGGGAAATAGGCAAAGGTTTGTCTGGTGGTTTGGGTTTTGGTTTTTTAAAATTTTTTTAACTTTCATATGTATTTCTCAGGAGTTAAAACCAAGTGCCTTAGTGGCAGTGAGTCATATTGGACAAAGGTGAAAGGTATGAAAATACCTACTAATTGTAGAATCATTAATTTAAAATTACTCTAAAATTGCCCTCCTTTTGATTTCAGTACCATTAAAATCTTATGCCTATTAATTCATTCCAGATGCAGAAAAGAGAAGCTTACATTTTTTGTCATCCAAATTTAAAAGTACTATGATCATTTTGGGGCTATTACAGTTAATAAATAACAATGAATACTACAAAATGTCATCCAGCTTATTTGTTCTGTGACTAATTTCAAGGGTGCATTATGCAACATACCTTGCATACTGCCTGATATCCAAATATATTCTGCAGCACTTAGACTCTCATATTTGTAAGGTAACAGATGTCTCTTTGTATTCCAAGTAAACATTCATTTCCTATATGCTGTAGTTTGAAGTAACGTGTTTGTAATTGGCCAAGTCATACTAGCATGCAGGAAGACATACATGGAAACAAAAACTTGTTATAAATAGTTGATAGATAAAATCAAACTTTATTTAATTAGGCATTGTTACTGTATAACATAGAAAATGTGGAGGTCAGCAGTCCTTTCATATTCATGATTCACTCTCACATAGCACTCTTTGCTAGACAGCCTATTGAGGTAAACTAGATAAGTAAGAAGAAATATTTCCTTTCCAAATTGCAAAATGCAATATTTCCATTTTGTGCAAGAATTTTGTAGCATGAGGACACTGGTTAAAATCTTGCAAGAGAAAATGAAACTATTTTAAACTTGTTGTATTGGTTGTCACTGGAGGGAAAGTCCTGCCTTAAGACAGAAAACCAATAAAATATCCACATTTCTTTTTTCAAATATTCATCCCCATTTCTAGTTCTTATTTAATTAATTTCTATCTCAGGTGGCTCCTTCTGTGCTTTCCAAGCCCTGTGAAAGAGAGGAGCATTTTGCCTCCTCAACTCCTTCTTCTCCTCATCCTCACAGACACATGTATTTCTGCATACTAGCCCAGAAGGAATCGCCATAGGTTTTGATTTCCAAGGGTTCACATTCACACACCACCCCACAGCTCCATTTCCTCAAATCCTGAGTCTGCTTTAAAGAAAAATCAGTCAAACAGAGCCATAAGATTTCCCTGCCAAGGAAGGAGATTGCTGCAGGGAAAACAGCATAGTTACATCCCCACTTGTGTCTCAGAGCAGCTGGAGTCACCTGGATTTCTCTGGCAGCATAGGGAGAACAAGTGCCTGAGAGAAACTAACAGCACTGGTGAAGGAAATGGCAGCCCTTCCTTTCACAAAGTTACTTTGTCACAAACTAGACATACAGGGGCAGTTATTTTAAAAGCACATGGCATTTTTACCATCAGAAAGTGGTTCGATAACTTGAAAGATGATTTTGTGACCTGTGGACAGCTGATAACTATAACTATTACATGCAACCTCTTTGTAAGTCCTGTGTGTTCTGATGGCTTCAGGCCATTCAGTAATAGATGGATGGGTTTAAATGGCTTAAAACCTCCAGAGTTATGCTGGTCTCTTATGGCAAATTTATTTTGCCATTAATGATGCTCAGGAGAGAAGAAAGACCTGAGCAATTTGTTGGACCTCAGATGTCTGAGCATTGTCAGAAGCAGCAGCTCTCACTATACTGCCTGATGTGGGAATTCAGAGAACGAGCTTCTCCTGGACTTGGGCTGATAGTGCTGTGCAGGGCATTTCTGCTGCTGTGATCACATTTTGTTTATGATTTTCCTGCTGGAAGGCTGGGAGCTTCAGCCATGGAGAGATGCCTGCAGTTGCACCATACAATGTGTGTGCACCCACACAGCTCTGCAGCTGTCTGAACCTTGACTGCACTTGCTCAGGGGTTTATCTATTCCTGATATGTAACCTACGAGCAAGGTGAGTGGTGCTTAGAGGCACCAACAAACAGAGAAGCTCTCTGCAGCCATGCAAGCTTACATAGAAAGCTCCTGTTTATAAATTTATAGCTTTGCACTGTTTTTCACAGTTGGTCCCAAGGTACTTCAGATATAGCAGGCAATGTTTTGACTGTTATCATAAAATACTGTAATGTACTTTTATTTGCAAGATGTTTCCCCAGTGCCAGACAGGTGTACTCAACACCACCTCTGTGTTTATTGTTAATTGTATTTATTTGGTTGCGGTAAGTTCTGAACATTGAGAAGTTCTGGGGAGGGGAGGGAAGAGAGCAGAGATTTCAGTCTCTTGTGGCTGCCAGCAAGGCTGTTTATGTTGCTGTGGTTGTCATAGAAACCCAGGAAGACAATTAATGCATCCACATATTTTTCAAGAGGAGTATAGCGTTTGGGTGCTTTTGAATATGGGGATCTCAGTGGCTGGCAGAGGCCCTGGGGGAGGGAGACTGCGTAAGAATAAATCTGACCGACTCCAAGTCAGACCCTAAGCAGTCTGGGTGATGTGCAATGGGTGCACTTATAAGATCATACATGCAAGACAAGCAATAGAGATTTATTTTTTATTATTTAAGCAATTACATAAACCTGACTGGCATTAGAATAACAGAGAGAGGAACGTCTTGCCCAGGGCACTGGCACAGGCAGGTGCTTTCCTGCCCTTGGTCTTACTGAACCAGTTAACATAACAGCTGTTGACACACAAACTTTGCTGTCTCCAGCTCTGCCCAGGGACACCTAAAGGATGATTTCAAGACTGTGAGCAAGAATATTCTTAAATTATTCACTTTGTAGTAAAACAAAAAGAACTATGTCTCCTCTCTGAATGTGGTCTGAGGGTTCTGTGTTGGGACTCTGTTCTCCAAGATTTAGGGAAGTTTTGCACTTAGCAGTAACACAGAAAGGCTTGCAGTTCTGTTCTCTTCATGAACATTGAATTATAAAATCCCCGTGAACTTAATAAAAAACATTATCTCACTTTTACACATGGGGATGCAATGGGAAGGTTCCAAGAGGAAGGTCAGGTGACACAACAGAGATCATGGGCAGAGTCACTCTCTCAGCCAGGTTGGAATGTGGAGGTGATTGCTTTCAGAGCACAACCCAAAATCTAGGGTTTTTTCTGCACAATTACAATTACTCCCACAGTACTCTCAGAATCCTTGAAACTTCTGTCTGTGTAATTGGAATAACCCTAAAGGTTGGCCAAGAAACTTTAAATTGCATTAATATCCTTACAGTTGAAAGAATAACTGCTCAAGGAAAGGAGGTACTAACAGTGCCTTGACTTGACATTAACCTTGACATGAGTGTGTTGTCAAGACGACAGCAGGCCCACAACTGTGAGCTGAAAGGCTCTCATGAGTAACTCTGAGCAATCTTCCTCAGGAGAGAAGGATGTTGATTTTATACAGTAAACAATTATGAAGAAATAATAACATCATCTAGAGATCAGAGACAAGCCTAGAAGCCATCCTGTCCACAAAATTAGCTGGCAGGTCTCCACAGTCCCTGAAGAAGGACGATTTGAAACAGAAATCTATAAAGGGAGAGAAGCTGACTGATTTGCTTTCTTCAGCCATTTTTATTAACTTTGTTAGAGGAACATCTCCTTGCCACAGGAGTTTAATGCTTCATGGAGAATCCTGCTTTTGTCAATATGAAGAATCATTCCCCTCTGTCAGGGCAGTCAGTGCAAAGGCAAGAGTGCAAGAAGAGCTCTGTGTTTGGAAAACTCTTTGTTTTCCTCTGGCCAGTGCTCTTCTGAACTTCTTCCTTCTGTGTAAAATTAATGGCATGCTTACAGATGTTCAGTAATGCTACTATGTGTCACTGTGTGCCTGTTGCTCATATCTGTCAGTTTGCCAAGGAGTTCAGCTGTATCTTGGAAACCTGTTTTGGGGAAAAGTGGGTTTAAATTGCCTGGGCAGGAAGCAGGTCAGGCAGGCAGTCAAACCCTGTTTCCCAGATTCGGAATAGTTTTTCACCTCAGGAATGTGCCTAATGACTTTGGCATTTGAGCCTGGATGCTAACTAGATTCCACTGGTTAAAAAAAATAAAGTCATGGCAGTTCATTAGCTGGATTCTCATACAACAGCCTGGTTTATGTCCAACGGGGGACATACCAGTATCTGTCACA